ATAAAGTTCTTTATTTTCTGTAATGCAATTTAAAAAATTTTAAAAAAATGTCACATTCTGGATTCATTACAAATCAACTGAAATATTGCAAGCCTTTTAATATTGCTGATTATGGCATACAGCTTAAGAAAACTCAAAAATCCTATCTCAAAAAATTAGAATAGTTCCTCAGACCAAGTAAAAAAAAAAGATTTATAACAGCAAAACACAATCAAACATTTGAAAATGTCCATTAATGCACTCAGTACTTGGTTGGGAATCCTTTTGCACGGATTACTGCATCAATGCGGCGTGGCATGGAGCAATCAGCCTGTGCATTGCTGAGGTGTTATGGATGCCCAGGATGCTTCAATCGGCGGCCTTTAGCTCATTAGTATTGTTGGGTCTGGTGTCTTTCAGCTTCTTCTTCACAATACCCCACATATTCTCTATGGGGTTCAGGTCTAGGGGAATTTGCAGGCCAATCGAGGACAGTAATGCCATGGTCAGTACACCAGTTACTGGTGGTTTTGGCACTGTGGGCAGGTGTCAGATCACTGCTGGAAAAATGAATTCCTCATCTCCATAGAGCTTTTCAGCAGACGGAAGCATGTAGTGCTACTAAAATTCTCTTGGTACACAGCTGCATTTACTCTGGGCTTGATGAAACACAGTGGACCAACACCAGCAGCTGACATGGCTCCCCAAACCATCGCTGACTGTGGGAACTTCACACTGGATTTCAAGCAACTTGGATTTTGCTCCTCTCCAGCCTTTCTCCAGACTCTGGCGCCTTGACTTCCAAATGAAATACAAAACTTGCTTTCGTCTGAAAAGAGGACTTTGGACCACTGTGCAACTGTCCAGTGCTTCTTTTCCTTAGCCCAAGTCAGACGCCTCTTCCGTTGTCTTGAGTTCAGAAGTGGCTTGACCATGGGAATACGGCTATTGTAGCCCATTTCCCGGACACGTCTGTGAACAGTGACTTTTGATACCTGGACTCCAGCTTCAGTCCACTGTCTTTGAAGCTCCCCCAAATTCTGGAAGCGACTCTTCTTCACAATGCTGTTAAGGCTGCGGTCATCTCTCTTGGTTGTGCAGCGTTTCCTGCCACATTTCCCCCTTCCAACAGACTTTTTGTGGATGTGCTTTGAAACTGCACTCTGTGAACAGCTTGCTCTTTGAGAAATTTCTTTTTGTGTCTTACCCTCCTGATGGAGGGTGTCAATGACGGTCCTCTGGACAGCAGTCAGATCAGCAGTCTTCCCCATACTTGTGATTTAGTTTACAGAACCAAGCTGAGTGTTTTTCAAGGCTCAGGAAACCCTTGCAGGTGTTTCGAGTTAATTAGACGATTCAAGTGATTCGTTGAACACCCTACTAGTATACTTTTTCATGATATTCTAATATTTAGAGATAGGATATTTGAGTTTTCTTAAGCTGTATGCCATAATCAGCAATATTAAAATAATAAAAGGCTTGCAATATTTCAGTTGATTTGTAATGAATCCAGAATGTATGACATTTTTGTTTTTTTAATTGCATTACAGAAAATAAAGAACTTTATCACAATATTCTAATTTTCTGAGACAGTCCTGTATGTAATCTGTGATCAATCAAGAGAGGGCAATCCAAGTTGAAAGCAAGCTCCATCTTTGTCTCATCACGAAAACACAACACCAGTTTCCTTCAATAAAAGGTCATAAGGTCGTCCCTCTGTGTCTCTGGCTCTCTGCCCCTCTGGCTCATCAGCTTCATGCGGCTCATTCAGTTGTTGCTCTATGTGATTCTGTGCCAGCAGTGAAATACGATCTGAACGATGTGAGGAAACACGCCAAGTTAAACAGGATGAACAACGCAGCCACGTTGTTCGTCTTTTTCACCGTCCTCGTCAACATCTTCATCACAGCACTGGGATTCGAGGGATACTCTGTCAGGTAGGCCATTACTATGGAAGAGTATAACGGGATAGAGAGGAGCAAAGACAGGAGGAAGTGTTGAGAACAAATGGCAGTCGAGAGCACAGTCCAGAAGTGGATAAAAATGTCCAGGATCAAATCAAAATGTCAAGAATAAATTGAAATTGACAAGAACACATTTAGGATGTTTAGCATAAAGAGGACATATGTTTTATCTTACAGTATCAGTGCATGTAAATGCCAAAATTTGTCTTTACATTTTGACAATTCAAAATATACAAATCTCGTCCAGAAGCCTTTCTTATGTCGTAAAGCTTGTTCTTGTTTGACTTCCCAGGTCACCAATGTCACCTGTGATGTTGCCAGAGCATCATCTCTCCCTCCTGCCCAACAACCTCAACAAGACTTCAGGCTTTTAGTCTTCAGCCACCTGTCACAGGAGCAAAACAAAGACCTATCTGACATCTCAAAGTCTTCAAAGCTAAGACTAATGGAGGGACAGGAAGCAGCTGTTTATAACTTCTGATCAGCTCCCTGCTCCACCAGCTGACTCACCCTGAAAGGATTCAATGGATCTACAATCACATCAGCAGTGAGAGGCTTTTGTGGATTCATGGGGAAACCCAGATAACCTGAGGGACCGCGGACTAACCTCCACTCACTGCTGTTGAACTCAATGCAACCAACGATTGACTACCAAAAACCTCAACTCAATCACATGACCACTGCCGTGAGATAATAAGATTCCAAAGACTAATGCAGAACAATTATTTTGATCTTGTAAATATATTTTTGTTCACATGTTAGATTGTTGGAATAAATCTTAAATTTTGTAACTAAATAGTTGTATGTGTATTTGACAGTATGAATAGAAACGTGTCTTCTATTCTGCAAATATTTAACTCTTGTTCTGAGCTCGATTGCATTTTTGCGTCCTTTAGGAATTCATCTCCAATGATTTTTTTACAGAAAGCTCAAAAACTCTCAGAGCAGGGGAACGTATGTATACATTCATATTTATTAACCCAACTACACAACAGCCTTTGATTTTTGATTGGAAGCGCTATTAAGACGGCCTGCAGCCTGTTGCGCCACATGATATGATCACATACGGTATATTATCTCACAGTCAAAACAATTCATAGAGCAGCTGCAAAATAAAAAATGATTAACCTGGTCTCTGCACTCAGGGAAAACATAGTTTGACATGCCATGCAAGAAAGCAAAGAAAAGGAGAATACATTATTCTTTATTTTGTACTATTATCAACTAATTCTTCCCTAATGGTTCCCTAACCTGTCTGTCACTCTCAGCCACACGCCCACTGGTTCTATTGAAGATGGAAAACTTAGTTTGGGACTATTTTCCGTGGCGGATTAATCTACATTGTTGCTGTAGTATTTGGGCCAGAGGATGGTGTATGTGGGACTTTGACAATATATACTTCAGTGTGTGTGTGTGTGTGTGTGTTCTTGGAGGAACAGGCTTGGTGTTCACATTTAATTAAAAAATAGCCAGAAATGAGAGCAGGAACAGTCAGATTTGTGGGTCTGCTTCTCGAGTTATGTTTTTGGGTCACCTCGACCACCAGTGAACAACATATTGTTGCAAGCTATGGTTTTCAGACGTGGTATGGTTTTTGGAAGTGTCTCTCGTTACACTGGAGAAATTGTGCACTGCCTTTGTAGGACAGAAGTACACATTTCAATGAAAATCTAAAGGTGCAGGTCAAAAGAACAAACAAACTTAGGCAAGAAAAAGACAAAACATCCACAAAGTGTATTAAAAGCTATTAAAATATTTTAATTGTGGGATATTTGGATCGAACAGAGATATTTTTTAGGCATTGTCAAATACCTAACAAAGCACAAACAATATGACCTGTATGATTGACAGGCAATCTGCTCACATTTTGGACCAATCAATATTACAAATAAAACCTTCACCACCAAAATGACACCTCTACATTCAGAAATGCAGTAATTGAACTAAACATGATTGAGGGACACCATTTCAATAAAAATATATATTTATTATAAAAGACAAATGATTGAAAACAATAATTTGTTGTTGGTCAGGGGGAGGGGAGTCTGATAGCTCCCCTCCCAAAAGGCTCTTCCTACACAGATCATACTCTGTCTGGTTTTGTTCATTTCACTGACTTAGTGACACAGAGAACTAGAATGTTCCTGCCTTTAAGGCATGTGGTCACTCTCTCTACTGCTGACACTATTGGAGAAGAAATGACATGATAACATCCGATCATTGAATCCCAAAAGGATCCTCTTCATTGTTGACCACCCGGCAGTATGCGTAGTAGACTGTTGCTGCTAACACGGCTAGCAGCAGCAGCAGCCGGACCCCCTTCCACACGCTGCAGCCCGACTCCCTCTTAGGCTCCTTGATTTGTGGTGCTGCGCTGTGATTGGCTGTTCTCTTACTGATCTGGACAGGGGGCCTGACGTACAGAGGGAGGAAGACATTTAGAGCGGGCGATGAAGCTGTTTGCCCAAATACAGCACTCGTTTTTAGACCATAGACTTACTCTGTGTATTGGAGCGGTTCCTCCTCTTTATCTGGCTCAGCGGTGCCTCTACGTTTCACACTGAGTGGAGAAACATTTAACAATTACATTTCAATTAGGCAATAGAGTGGTGCAGGAATGGGTCCGCCAACATAGAAACAAGTCAGCATTTTACCACTTCCAGTTACCTTTTCTTGAAGTCAACGGTTTTTTGAACGTGTTTATGGTTAGATGCCTGAAATAAGACCTGTCATTCACTCATGCTAAAAATATATTGTTTTTGTTCTACGAGATGAAATGCATCAGTAGTTGACCACTGGTGAATGTCTGAAGATCTTAAAGAGTTCCTATTATACCTATTCGGCTAGCGCTCCAAGACATTGTACGTAATATGCTAAGGGGCGGGACATTTCCCACTCATCTCTACGCGGTCGACCAATTACACTAGAGCTGGCCAGCAAACCAATCAGAGCAGACTGGGCTCTGGTTTCAGACAGAGGGTGAAAAGAAGTGCTCCAGCACAGGCAGTATGAGAACAATAAAGAGCTTTTTGAACATTAAAGCATGGAGACATGTCCC